TACCAATTTTCATGGTGATCGATCAAATAGATTTTATGTTAAACGATTTCATATATACAAACATCATCTTTTATAGGTATGTGTACCTACATTTAAGTATATTTTCAATTTAATTTCGTTTTATTTTTGTCAAGCGATTAATAAAGTTATTAGTTCATTTATTTAAATATGTAACAAATTTGTACAAAATATCAATATCCACGATTTGAAACCGTCAACAACAAAGTATTATCGAAATAAAAAGTTTTTTAACATATATTATAGTGAAAAAAATTCTTGATGGAGAAACTTCGTTTTTGAAGTTTGTATATTTTTTTCTTATATAAATTTCTGCGATGTCACTTATCTTGTAACGCATTGTTCTAGTAACTGGTAAATCCTTTTAAGATTCGCATATCGCTGACGTCAATGTCTATTGTTAGAAACGGCGACACATCATCACAGCTTTTGGTGTTTAAAACATAATTATTTAGCTATAACAAAAGTATTTTTACCTATTCCTGCCAAATTTAAGTGTTTAGGTTTATATTATTATTAATCATACAAATAACATTTGTAATAATTCATCTATATCGTTTCAAAATATGTTTTAATTTTACATACGGCTCTATTTTCCCTGGTACCGTCATAATATACATGTTTTAAAGTAGAATTTTTAGAAAAGAAAGAGTGACACACGTACGCACAGCCTATCTGATGGTAGGTGGGTGCTGTAACCTACAGACGATGATGTACACATTTGTCCTCGATTAAGAATCAAAATAAATTTTATAGAGATTTAGTATAACAACAGGCTGTGAGGCCTTCTACCTTAGTTCTCAGAGGTAACAAAGCATCAGTAATGTTCTTTTTTTAAATATGTAAGTGTCCGTGCTGCCTGTTCGTCCGTCTGGGTCCGTCCGGGCTGCAGTTGCTTCTTACCATCAAGTGAGCTAAACTTCAATTTTATTAAAAAAATGTGCTATTACCCATGAGAACATGGAATACCTCATTACCCACAAACACAGCAGAATTACGCTGTTATTTCATGCTGCTATCACGACGCTGCAGCACGGCTCTATAGTGATAAAAACTATGCACATGTTCATGTAATAGACATGGTATTCAACTCCCCCACCCCCCACTCCACCCTCGGCAAAGCACTCGAAACTTCGGGAGTTAGAAACAAGCTTAACTCAACCCGATGGAATTCGTAAAAAAGTTTTTATTCCTATTTAATAAACCATTATGTAAAAACGTTAAAATAATAAATAAAACCTAATTTACAATTCGAATACATATGAAAACCTTACTAGAACTAACGGAACTGCTTTGATCATTTATTTGTTGTTAGTCTAGAAACGTATTAACTTGAAGATATATTTTCATCTCTTATTAACATAAATTTTAACTTTATTATCAACCAGCGAACGGTATCTTATGACTAACACTTTAAAAAATTGTTTTTTTTAATATACCTTTATAAAAAAGGTTATGGTTACATTAATATACGATTGATATGTTGTCGTTAAAAAAGAAATAAAGTTATCACTTTAAACATTATTAAAAATGGAATTAATAATTGAGATAAAACTTTTGTTAAAATAATCCATCTTTATTGTTCGATTTATATTTCCAGTTGTGTTAGTTATGCGGAACTTGATAATTATGTTCTATAGGTCGACTTTAACTCGGATGATAAGTATATAATACTTTTGGAGCTGCCTACGTTTACGACATTAAGTTCTATAACATCCTTGTGCTTGTGGTGTGTTGCTGTTAAATACCCTTTTCCGATAAAGCACTTATACAATAAAAACAATGTAAAGTTAAAATGAAGTCAAGAGATTTTTATGACTCTTTCTCTATCTGTATGATATGAAAAATGTTTATGTCACAACATTGAACAGGGATTGAACGCAATGCTAGAGAGACTGCAATATTAACGCTACATTCTGTGCTATATCCATACCAGATAACACATTTGCTTTCCTCAAATTTTGGCGTCATCATTGAACAGAGCGGGTACTTAGTGAGATTTGGTTTAAAAACTCATCATAAGTAACTTGCAAGTATAAAAAGTATGCACAAATTTAAATAAATCTCCTAAACTAACTTAGAAGGAATTATATATCAAAATCATGTCGAATTCCATTAACGTCTTAAAAGATTCGCACGAAATATATGAATTTTGTAAATATTTTAAATCTTTATACTTCCAATAGTTAAAGAAACAATGTCAGTGAGCCTGTTCGAGTGGCTCTAAACCTCATTTTTACATCTCAGTATTGCTGATTTCTTCCAACAAATTAACGCCCCGGTCCACGTGTTAACCCTTTTGTGTTCTTTTATAGTTTTATGAGCGAACAGTGTCGAGATAAACCGTCGGTGACGCCGACCAAAATAGAATCTTGCGCAATTCGAAGCCGACAAAAGTGAAAATGTTCGGCAGTAAAAGTTGCACAGATAAGCAATTTTTATTTCCTTTTTTTAATGTTCTCTGTGGCTAGCACCGGTAAGAGAGTCTGTACATTGTTATTGAGAATAGGTTTTTATTATATTTTATTAGTACGGATGACGTTTTAACATTGTTTGTTTACACAAAAACTCTTTAACGTCTAGATGAGCAAATGTTACTCTATGTAACATCGAAGCATTTAATCAACTCAATATCCATACAATTAATTTTACGTCGCCGAGAAGGTAAATTATATTTGAAATAATATTTATACTTAATATATTTTAATATAACTTATGGATATTTAATTATTCCTCTATACGCAATACAAAGCAATAGATTCAACGATAGGTACATTACTTTGCAAAGGATAGATTTTAGTTTTGTTACAACTGTGGAAAAAGGTAGCAATTATAATAATATATTTTTTCCAATAAATAATTTCTAATAAATATACATAGAACGAAAGTTATTGCTAAAAATAGAATATATTTTTTTAATATCGTAAAATGAAATCAAAAGCTGATAAAGAAAACACCTTATAATTTTTTTGTAAATACTTAATTTTATTAACTCTGTAACTGACAGATGATATATAAGTATCCTATCTAGATTCGAGTAATACGACATTAATATGTATTTATAGCTACAAGAGTTAATTTAGCACATATTTGTTTTTAAATTAAACACATGAAGCTTTTGGCAAGCGTGCGAAATTTTTTATCGTTATAATAATAACAATGATTTTAAAATAACACTATTATGATTAAGTATAAAATATCTTTCATATGAATGTGGTGTTTAATTCATAGTAAGCAACACTTTCCCTCTGACATCGATTCAAACAAGAATTTTCAAGATGTCGTAAATCACAGGTGGAATATGGCAGCTTATTAAAAGCAATAGTGCATTTTTTTATATTTATTGATAATTAACAAAGATTTAAAACTGTTTTTATCATATTTAATTTGTATCGAATTCTATTAAAAAAAGAAAAAGATTAAAAGAAAAATATAGATAGACTGTGACATTCTACGTAAAAATATGGACGAAATTGTTAAAATTTTTATACAACAATATCAATGTGAGGAGTATAGTTCAACAAACGATTTGACACATATTATTCTCTTCACACTAATTTGCACGCTCACCAAACAACATTTGAAAGTTTAAAAATGCTAAATTGAAACTTGCATATAAATATATATTTAAATGGAATGTGCAGACGCGTAGATAGGTACCTATCTTACACCAAACACCATGTACTAATAATTCATTATATTTATCTTATACCTATATATACAGAAGTTATCTATACCTAATTGCGATGGTCGACAGAAATATAATTCCATTTCACCTATCTAATTAATTAGTTATATATATTTTACATATTTTGTTATACACAAACAACATTGCACTGTTTAACGGTCCGATATGAGAACGCCCGTCTTACCCGTACATATACCAACTCTACATTTTTATTTACGCGATTTGTTTCATAAAACTTTCTTATAAATAGCTTACTTTTGAGTATCGGCTTCTTCTATATAAAGAAAATTTATATTAATGCAGATCATACAACATATACAAAATCATAATAACTAATTGTAATTTAAAGAAGTTATAATATTGTATTATTTTTGTAACATTAGATATTCATTGTAATTTAAGAAATATAGATTGATCATTTATTATTAATTCTTTTTTTATTATATGACATATATATCAAATTTTAGTTTGGGTAATGTTACACCGTATTAAGTTGAGGAAGTTGTAAAAACAAATTGATTTACGACTGATATTTTAAAAGTTAAATCTTGCTCTACATTTCAGTTTAACACACATAATATATTGTTCGTAACAACTTTTTCTTGCAAATTATTACGTACTTTAAATCTTTTTAAAATTGTAGCAATACTTAATCAGAAGTTTTTATAATGTTTTTAGTTGTGATGGTTAAAATCATTTTATATAAATACAATTGACACCTAATATTGTTAACTTTGAAACAAAAGATTTCAACGCGCGCTATAAAACTAAGTTATCAGAACATCAATAGATAGTGACCGATAACTGTCTGATATTGATCGTATTACAGTTTTTATTATATCAGATACAAGCTTTTTGTTTTAGAAACAAATTTGAAAAAGTAACACCGTTAATCCTATAGCATTTTTCTAAGCAACGAAAACCATAAAACCATAAACTCAAGTTTCTAATAAGAGTTGGTATACTAACGAGTTATCTAAACGGGATACGCAGGACACTTCCAGAAGTCCCTGAAACAGTTAGGCCTATCGCGCCGCCACCGTCCGGGGTGCATCCACCGTGCACATATCTACCTTCTAAGAGAATGCACAAAGCGGACTTCGAGAAAATCATAGCAAATATTTACACAATATCTATACAATGCCTCGGCGTACGTCGCAGCGCCGTCCATGATATCACAAGAACACAAGTCACGCTCACAAAGAGTCCAAGATGAGATTTTTGCTTTTGTAGTTGGCCGGAGGACTTACCCCCGGCGTGGCCACAGCCCTGGCGCCTACGCCAGCGGATACTGTCACAAGGGCGGCTGCGAGTGCGCGTGGGCGTGATGGTGGTACAGTGGCGACTGGTAGTAGTTGTCCGCTGGCGCGTGCCCGTAGCCGTAGTTCACGTCATACATCTTGAGGTCTGTCTTTGTATCTGCACCAGGGAGTAGCCGTGTAATGCTGAAGGGATGGGGAGCGGGCGCGTAGCCTGTTGGCTCCTGTTTCAATTGCGCGTAATGCTCAAGCGCTAGCGGCGTGTGTTCAGGCAAGCACAGTTCAGGTGCCGCGTGCAGTTGAGCTAATAAATCATCTCGCATCTCTTTGTCCTCACTAGCGCCCGCACCCGCTGTTTTCTCATGTCCATGCTCACCTCTCTTTTCATGACCTGAACTGTGATGCCCGTGTGTATGAGCCGCCTTCTGCGCTTGCCGTATCGACTCTTTCTTCTCGTCTTTGAATCGTTTCTGCCTCCGTAAAAAGCATCCGTTCTCGAACATGTTTCCGCTATCTGGATGCAAAGTCCAGAACGAACCTTTGCCTGGCTTGTCGGGTGTGCGCGGCACTTTCACGAAGCAATCGTTGAATGATAACGAGTGCCTTATTGAGTTCTGCCAACGCTGCTGATTCTGTCTGTAGAACGGGAATAGGTCCATGATGAATTGGTAGATCTCCGAGAGTGTGAGCATGCGCGACGGATTGTTCTGGAATGGCCATCGTTATCAGGGAAATATACGAATACGGCGGCTTTGCGTGCGTGTAGGAGCGGCGGTAAGTTTTGTCGTTGCGCGCACGTTGAAGAGCGGATGTCGGAGAGGCGGCCTCCTGTTCTCGTGGGAGCGCGCCGTATGGCACGGCGCCGCCGCCGCCCATACAGGAGGCCATGGTGCTGGGCGGAGAGTAGCCCACGCCTGGAGAGCCCATGCACGAGCCGCCGGCGACCATGTTGTTGGAGTATATATTCGGATAAGGCTGAGCGGGCATGCAGCCCATGCCGTTCACGTATGGTGGCGCGAGGCCCGGTGATAGTGAGGACAGCGACGCGGACGTCGGTACGTCGCCGTACGATAGCTTCTGCGAGATCATGGCTAGCGCATCACCCGCGCGTGCACGCCGGCCAGGGGCAAACACTCGCACTGATTGAAAGAGTAAATAGAGAACAGGGGCCCGCGCTCCCCTCCAAGTACCCGTCATGGGCGCTTGGAGGCGTGGCTACTTACGAGCCCTCCTGCTCTGCGCACGCAAGCGCTGCCTCCCCTCTACTCGCCCGCTCCCCCACTCGTTCACCCGTCCCCCCTCGCACAGAACCTCTCGCCGCGATCCGCCGCTAATAATACCACATCTTGGAAAGATAAAAATATGGAATAATTGTAAGTGCGTTAGCTTGAATCTGTATTTGTGTGGAGCTTTGAATGTCGTTACTTTGTTATTATATAAAAATGTTTTTGTAAGTAGGTAACTTTTTAAGTTTTGGTGTGAATCTTATAGTTACAGTTCTTTGTCTGAAGATATAAAAGTGAACGTTGACATAGGTATTCTATTCGAAAGTAGATTATAAACTATACATAGTAAAGTTCTAACATTTAATTTAATCACAAATTTATTCTCTTTTATGTTTTAACAATCTCTAGCCTATAAAATAACATTCATACTCGTAAATGACACTTATAGAGGACCTTTTTAAAAGATTAAAAAATAATTCATAAGGCCATAATAAATTATGATCTATTATTGTAAATAAGAATACTATACTATAATCACAGTTAAATAAGATATTATTATATTGAAATTCTAAAACATCAGATTAAAGCAAATCTTTCGACGTCTAATGTTGAATGGAAAACTACTTTTTCAGTTAAGCTTTTAGTTTTTTTTGTTATTCATATTAACTACTTTTTTATTTAGCTGTTTATGTTAAAACTTTATATATTAAACAGTATTTTTAAGAATAGTTTTAATATGAATTTTTTGTGTTAAAACAACAAAAACCCGGAGGTGACGTTAGAGGCGACATACTGTAACAAACCAGACAGCATGGACTGCCAACCCGGCTGGCAACGTGGCAACTATGGCAAATATTCCCCGCAAGGCAATTTAAGGGAGTGGCTTATTTTTAGGAGTGAACTTTGATAAATAACTTTAATCAATAAAAAAGTAACTATAGATAAAATTATACATATACAAAATGATAATTTTACATATATAAAATTAACATTGGATATAATAAACATTATAATATACAGTAAAAATGAAAGATTTAAAATAAAAAAATAGACCAAATTTTTATTTATACCATTTTAACATATTTTGCCGCTACTTTAATTGAATTTCTTTCGAATCCTACATAAACCTACATAAAGCTTAAATAATAATAATGATCCCTACTTGACTTTTAAACTCTATTGGTTTAATAATAAATTTATATAATAAATAGTAACTTTAGTGAGAAGACATAAAGACAATAATTTTGATTCTGGGGGGGTTCTCTTGCAATAAAGAAGCTGCGAATAACGAATTGTAAACAAATAAATCACCACTTAGCTTAATTGCTTCTCCTAAGTTGTCTAAGTTGTTTTGTTCAACAACATCATGCAGACATATACATTATTCGCAATCGGATTATAATCATGAAATTGTAAACAAATTAAAAAACTTTAAAGAACTTACTTTTAACCTAAATACGTACTTAATAAGATGAAAACTAACGATTACAGGTTTATTGATTATGTTGTTTTTAGCTCAGTAGCTAAGCGTTTGGTTGTAGCCAAGAATTTAAAACCCGAACGGAACAGGTGTTTTATGGCCTACAAATAATTGTTTCGGGGTCTGGATGTCTATCTCGAAGCTTTTCTGATTTTTTTCATACCGATTATAGGTTTATTAACTTAATTGATTGAAATATTTATTTAATTTTTTATTTATTTATTCTTTATTGCATTCTTTATACAAGTATATAAGAAAACAAGGGCGCTAAGATTACACCAAATATAATTGATTTTATCACTAACAATTGAATTTACTACTTAATGATTGGTTTATTATTTTTGTTTTCGAAAAGTTACATCAAAAACGTCCTTTAACATGTTAAATACACATAGTGTACCTACCATAGTAAGGGTACTTTCCTTCTCACATCTTACTTAACTTCGTGTAAAAAAATAATCAATTTCATAAGCAATAAACTTAATAATGACTTATAATATAGTACTTACTTATCTTTACTTTAAACTGTAGCAAATTTGTGGTAATACATTGGACTAATACTTTATATTAGTTGTATTAATATTTTACCTCAGAATTAAAATTTGTTTAATTCTCTCGAAGTGTGACTTAAATAAGGAATAAAAACAAAAAAATGTAAAAGAAAAGAATACGCATTAATACTACTATATTTTATCTTTAAATAACTTGAATAAATATTATATTGTTTTAATTGTTGTCGTGGGTTGTGACAGTCGCCGGGCTGTGCCGCTGCAGTACTGCGGACCCGAACAAATTAAGTCTTACTAGACATTTGTCAGCACATCAAACAGGAAAACAGAGAGCTAAATTAGACTTGTTCAGATTTTACTTAGGTTACGCTTTAAACCTTTTTCAAATAACAATAAAATACAAATATTTTAAAAATTGTATGGGGGCAAGTTGGTCTGGCTTCACTTTTAACTTTCCCATTGGTGACTTATATTAAGTTCAATTTTTTTTAAAGACTGCGTTCATTGTAATTAAGAAGATTTGACAAAAGAAGGTTTTGATTTAGGGACAATATCACCAATATCGAGAAAATAAAATATAATTCAAAATGAAACATAAACAGTTGCAAATATACCTGTAAGGTAAACACGCACTCAAAAATACTATAAAAAATTACATTGACAAACGAGAACACAGTCCACCTTATGATAAGTGGGTGCTGTGGCCCATAGAAATTTACGTTTATCCTCGTTAAAGAATCAAAATGCAAATGCTTTATCACCCTTAAGGACCAAGATGGAATGCCTCGTTTTATATATATAGTTTATTTACCAGAGCAATTGTTGTTGTGTTGCCAGCTTTTAAATCATCATCCTCCTCCATCACCATCACAAGTCCGCTGCTCAACGCTACAAAGGCCTCCCCGCCTTTGTTCCACACAAGGAATGCCACAAATCGTGGTCCTAATTCACGTGCGTACATTGACTTCCTTTATGCCTTACTAAGTCGTCGCTCAATTAAATGGAAGGCCTCTCTGCACTTTGCTTACCGAGAGAGACTACTACCATAGAACCTTACTTAGGTACCTAACGGTTGTCAGTTGTTCTATATGGCCGGTACATTGCCGCTTCAGTTTATTGATCCGTTCGACTATGTAACTGCGAAAAACCTAGCACAGCTCTTTCAATAGTTCGCCTAAACCTTAGGCTACTTATTTCATTGATTTATTAAAGCTTATCAAAAGTTCACTGATAAACACCTACCCATTGAACGCCTCATAAAGAGGATTTTCTCATAAAGGGGATATTCTCATAAAAGGGGATATTCTCATAAAGGGGATATTCTCATAAAGGGGGTATTCTAATAAAGAGGGTATTCTCATAAAGGGGATATTATCATAAAGGGGATATTTGCAACAGTTGCCACGCTTGGCAGGTGGGTTAACAACCGCAGTTTTTATTTTATTTTTGGTTTTTATTTTATTTTTAGTTTTTATTAAGAAGACACTGCTGCCCATTTCCTGGTTTGTTTCCCTCTGTCGCCACTTACGACACCCACGGGACGATATGGGGTACTTGATATTCTTACACCACCATAATACACCCTTCATTAAACGCTTATTATACAGGGTTATTATAAAAACAGTAGCTAAATTTTAAAACTAAGTTTAAAATAATAATATAGCGTTATTGCTTTTTTTACGAGTTAATAAGGCTTCTACTTTTATTTGAAATTATTGCAAATTGAATGTGATTTATAGAGCCGTGGTAGCTCAGATGGTTAGCGCTCGCTGTAAATTTCACAATACGCGAGCAAACCGGGTTCGATCCCCGCCGGCACCAATGAAATTGTTAATTGCAATTTTAAGTGCTGATTTACCACGTGCTCGGCGGTGAAGAAAAACATCGTGAGGAAACCTGCATGTCTTAGAAATAAGAAAAAAAATATTTCGAAGACATGTGAAGTTCGCCAACACGCATTGGGGCAGCATGGCGGACCTTCCTTGCCCTAAAACCCTCTCAGAAATGAGAGGAGGCCTGTGCCCAGCAGTGGGACGTATATAGGCTGTAACTTTACTTTACTAACTTTTATGGACAACAACGTTATTACCTACTGATCGACCCTTGCGAATGTAATATTAAATATTACATTACCGTGCATTTTGAATTTGAAAGATAAAAAGGAGGAATGTTTAAGATTATTTAAATTAATTTTTATTCACGCTTGGTTATATAACTTATTCTATACCTTCTTTAAAATTTGGTCGATTATTGCAAAATAAGCCTGTATATGTAAATTAAATAAAAAGCATTTTTTTTAAGTATGGATATAATGTACATACAATATGTCTGTGCCTTTCATGCTGCGATCAAGAACAAATTCTTATAGGTAGATAGTTAGAATAGGCAAAACAAGAAAGGCTACGTTTTTTGCATATCACAGTGCATGGCATAAAATAATAGTGAATATCATATACTGGCTTATACATATCACATTTGAAAATATTCGCTAGTATTCTAAAAATGTTGCCGTGGTTAAAATAGGCCTGAATACCAACATAATAAGCTAACAGTGTATTAGTAAACGAAGGTTTATTTTCAACTGTTATTGATTATATTGACTGGCATTATTTATTTGATCTTACGGGACGCAGCGTTTAGGCAATACCTAAAAGATAAAAGAGCAGTATTTAGTCACATATTTAACATGGCGCGGTAGTTCATACACGTGCACCATTTTTGGCGCCTTATCGAGTGCGCATGCGCCGTATGGTGTCAGTGTAATAGAATCCATCGCTTTTAATATAGCGGTTATTTTTACTTTTATTTATTAATTTAAAACTTTATGTACAAATAATAAAATCGTACGTATGGCGGACTTAATGTCTTAAGGCA